AACCGAACAATAAATGAAACTACCGCTCTGTCTTCTCAGGCAATCATGTCTCAATGTTTGAAATGTGCCGAGCGTGCACAATTACATTGATAATCTACCTATTTCTAGGATTGTGACTCACACAATCACAAACAACCTTCAGAACAGCAGAGTGGCTGTGTTAACCTATGAACGAGTGTTAGACGCTGCGGAAAACATTGTTAACTAACCAGTCACTCGTTGACTAATAGTAACTGGAGAATATTGTGATGTATATTAAGACTAAGTGCGTGCTGAAAGTAGGACAAAGTCTTTGTATTTGAGTATCGATTATTATAACATGTTGTAGAGCCCATAGCATTTTTCAGAGCTATTATTGCAGTTCATATTAGCTGGGACTGCTTCTCGATTGACATTAAACAGGTTTATACTAATATCAGATATTAATATATGCATGCAAAAATAAATATATCGTTTTAATCACATCAAAATTACAAAACATCACATCCGAATCCTGTATAACAATGAAACCCTTTTGCACTACTACAAATAAAGTCGTAACACTATCTGTGAAAGTGATAGGGATAGGCTGTGAAATAGAATAGGTTACATTGACAACGATTGTCATGCATGTTGAACTTTAAGAGTATCAGGAGACTGTTCATATTGTCTATGAGTAATGAACTAAGCCTATTATTAAATGCAAGATGCGGGCGTTCATGTGGTGTGCAAGTGGCTTTGCTTCCCCCAATATCGGGGGCTTTGGAAATACAAATGGGTTTGCAAGAGTACATATAACACAGATCTTTCCAACACTTACAAAGAAATCCGCAAGGAAGGGTTCACAACATTTGTACGCCATCTGACTGCATTCAAAAAGGGTTGTGCCGTGTTGTGCCGTGTTGTGCCGTGTATGCAAGCAGATGAACAATAGATTTCGCGATAAGAGATATTTCATGAATATAACCAAGGCACACCACGATTTTCTCTAGTAAAAACAGCAAAGCATCCATGTCCCATTCTCTTCATAACATTAATAATATTTACACCAAAAACATTAAAAACTTTTATTACGCTTTTATTACGGGACGCCGCCTGCGACATCTAGCCAACGCAACGGTGAACGTGACGCCGATGATATCGGCAATATCATTTGAGGTACTTAACGGGGGCGATACCCGCCGCTTTTTTATAAAAGTAAGTTCTCTCTTTCAGTATTAAATACGAGAAGTAGTAGTAGTTATTAATTAGTAGTGATGATGGTCGTGGCAAGTGTTTATGCAGCAATGAAATTCTTAACGTAAATGACCACCTTTTTGCTAACCGTTTTGTTACTTTCTTATTTTCGTAGGCTATTTATGTATTTATGCTCGCCCTATCTATGGGGGGGCAGTTACTAAATAAGACGTGCCTCGTTTTAATACGGTAATTATATTTTACTTTCCACGAGTTCTGCCTGAACGTAACACATTGGTATTTACATTGCTTTTTTTTTTTTTTTTTTCCAGAAAATGCTCGTCGAGAACGAACTTATCGTCGTTCTCAGTGCCAACACTTCAACAAGCTCGCCGCTTAATACTCATGCGACATTGCTTGTTGAAAAAATAACACCCCGTTGGCTACAGGTGGTAACGGGGGGTTATCTCTTAAAATTCTAACAGTCTCAATTTTCTTTGTAACTTACTTACATGTAATGTAAATGATGTATAATAATAATGCAAATTAAGAATATTAATATATCTTTCAAATATATGTATCACATCGCTTAAATAAACATATCTTATCATCCGCCAGATGGAGCGTGTCGAAATGTTAAACTGAACTGTAAAGTATAGCATATACTGAAGACATTGATCAGCGAGTAGACACGATATTAATATGGCATTCATCGCAACTACAAATATACGTACTATTTAATTATAAGACTGTATGATACCATTATTCATTTCCTTCATTTCTAGCATTACCCAGTACCCCCAACACGTCCTTTAACCCACCAAGCTATTATTCGCTTAATCCTCCTTCATATAAATATACTGCATGTGGACGGATTCAAACTTCAGTGTTCGGGAGAGTTAATCTCTATTACGAGTATTACGCATTACTGTTCGCCCATTAAAGCGTCGGAAATTGTAGGAGGCATTGGTAGAGAAAGCTCGAGATACATAATCCCAATCAAGAAATTACTATTGAGTATTATTTTTCATCTCCCGATCGCCTTGTTCTCGTAGTTGCGTATATTATAGAATTTTGACGGACAGGTTTCGTAATAGTAGTGAACTGTCCAGAGATCTTTCTTCAAAAAAGTCCATGCGCAGCATTACTACATGAAGTTTATAAATCAAAGCTCGCGGTTGCGGCGGGCTTGGTCTCTATTACTCTCCTCTTGTTCTTTTCTTTTTTCTTCAGGGCTAATATCCTTCACTTCAAATTAGATTCTCTCTTGTAATGAACTGTTTGTTACGACCCCTAAACTATATTAATTCAGATGAATCGCGTTAAAATGCCTCATCTTTTTCTCTTGTCCTTTCCCCTTTCCTCTTCTAACTTACATTATTCATAACATATAGATTCTTGTCATAATACGTATGATCCATGGTCCAACATTAGTAAACCTGTTAAACTCTTCTGAATGAAAAAACCCGACTCGGGAAAATCTTCCAATCTGAAATCATGCTTCAAATACTCGTCGACTTCAAAAGGTATTCTCAAATACTGTTGGTTGTGAGCCTCCAATAAATTGATCAGGTTTCTCGTAAGACTGGTTGAGGATCCAGTATTTGTAGTCCGAGGAAGAGGTTTGCGTTTGACCGGTTTTGTGTCATTGACAAGAATGCGGTAGAGTATTAAGTCATTTGTATGGTGTGTTGGTGAGTGTGAGTTCTAGAGCTATCGGAACAGAAAATGTAGGTATCAGCTTGACATTGGCTATCCTAAAAATTTACCAAATTAAGTAAAATGTGACGAATTTCATCCTCATTGGATAATAAACTGCACGTGAATGAGAAACAATCCACGAAGGTATGAACAGAATGAGCACCCATTTGGTCCTTCATAACCATAAGAATAGACCGTATCATATAGAAAATAGAAGAATGAATACATTCTGCCACAAGATACGTTGACTATGCCTAGAGCGCCATCAATATCCGAACAGCAATTCACAGACGCGTATATGAATGTTTCTTTGATTCGTTTTTGTCTATCTCTTACCATATATATCCTGTGTCTTGCATATTTCGAGTTAACAATATTGTCATTCGATCAACGTGTTAAAGACAGTAATGATTTGTATTAGATTTACGAATAGCCGGAATCTACAAGCTTATCGTGCCGGTGGCTGTTTGAACGGATCCTGCCTTATTGTCAAAGGGGTGTATTGTATGTAGTAAGAGTTGTCGCTGGATATTCACATGCTGTTTGCTCCTAGTGGAGATAGAACTCGTCAACCAACATATTTACAAGAAACTTTCCTCTAATGCCGTTTAGCAGACTTTGCAAATATTTCTATTCGCTTATGTACCAACGGAACAGGCGTGTGATGGAGCCTATTCATGTTAATACTTGCGAGAGCATCGGTTGTAAGGGCGATTACTTGCGAAGCAAATGCCAGATTGTGATTTATGACAAGAATCTCCAATATTGAAGGAACGGGGAAAATAAAAAGACGCCCAATTTTTTTGCCTCTCGAATTTCATCTCACGCTTTGTCATATCTAGGTTCCGAGGGAATTCCACAAATGGAACCCGAGAAAATCGAAATGGAAGACCATTCTGATATTTGTAAGAATGTCTACTACTATAGTTGGTAAATAGAAATTTGCTAAGTCTGAACGTTTAATACTTATTAATAATTGTTGGTGACATCCATTAACACGCGTTAACCATACCTCTCTGGTTACAGCATCTAGTAACTGGCAGATTTTCTTTGATCAATGAGCGATTAATCGAGCATCTTGGGCAATTTACGCGTGAATCGAGTGACATGAAGCTCGATAACAAGTACGCTGACTAAATTAACGATCCCGGACATGTTAGTTCGAGTGCGTGGAATCGGATATGGGTCGAAGCCATGCTCAGAAGTGTGGTTTCCGTATTTGGAAGTGAGCAGTTACAAGGAGGAGGGTGTAAGGATAAAGAGGAAGGTTGTCGGAAAGAGTACAATACACGGAAATAGTGCTATGCGCTTGAACGAAAAGATCACTTTAAAACATATTGCTGATCTGCGAGCAGAAATGTTAACATGATCTTCATTTCTCTTGCCATTCCCAATCTCACGCTCGTCTTTAAGCTACCGAAGCTCCTCTCATTTAATACTGTAATTATTTTTCATATAGCAGTATAGCGCCGAGCTATCGAATTCTACAAATCCGATAAAATCAACTCTGTTTACACCGCTTTTCTGGATGTCTCTCTTACTCTCCACTCGCTAATTGTGAAACTATCCTTTTACGTTGCCTAATGTATAGTGCCTTATATTCAACTTCGCCATTTTCGTCTTCCAATTTCTACATATTTGATGATTCTGGAACTTCTTTGCTCATTGCAAGTCCTGCTCATCGTATCCTTCTCATTTGATACAAATTAGCCGCTTTACTACTCCCCCACAAATTATTATGCAAAATAAAAATTGTGTACGGAATAATCTAAATTATGGGATTCTTTGTAATTGACTTGAAACGTTGTAAAGTTGATAACTACGGTCAGAATAGAGAAGTGCCGTGAAATTTGCAACCAAAAAAAAGAAAAAGATTTTAGCAGGCCAATCGTTCTGATAGCATAAAGACTATCCGTCAAAGTTGATAGTCTCGTGACTGTAAGGTCAAGTTGTTAAAAAGATCCAGAGATCCTAACATAGGGATAGCGTAAAAGATTCAGTCATTAGGTTTAAAACGCGAGTACTCATTCAATTATTTTTACTTGAAACTTGAGAATATTTAAGGATGTAAAATACATATCGTTGTAAGTAATAGAAAATTTCTCTGTCCATACATGTCTATCAACGATTGTATCGACGGCTTCCTATTGATTCCATTGCACCCGTCGAATAATCGTAATACGGAGTGGTTCGATGACATCTGGAAAAGTGATTGAGTCGATGGACTGAATTGTGAGGTAGTGCAGTGTCATTGTATCCATTGGGCTATACCAATGATTGGCAGGATTCGACATCATTGATGGGCTGCCGTCAATGACAGTAGTTGGCGATGGACTGAATTGTGGGTAGAAGCATTCGATGTCAATGTATCCATTTGGCGTAAGTGATATACGATTTGTAGTAGATAGCAGAGGCGACTGACATGAAACAGAATCGTCTGTTAATGTTCGAGATTATCTTGTGCTAGTTCATCACTAAAGTATTCTTCCGATGGTATGTAGAGTGAGGACTAGAGAAGCGCTGGCATCAGAATCGGAATCGGCGTTGGATTTTCTAGACGCGTTTTCAGATATTTGTTGTTGCTTGTTATTGTCGGCATCATTGGGGTGTAGTGAGTTGTCTGGGAATATTGTCTGGCTATATATATCTTTTAAGCACACTCGGCGAAGTGGGATGTTTTTCAGGATGTGTCTGTTTGTTTCTTGTTGCTGGGCCGCGCGATGTTGGATGTGATGTATTGAGAGAAGAGTAGTTGCGGTGGCTGTGGTGATGGTTGTTGTTGTTGCTGCTGGCGTTGTCTTGGATACTAATACATAGTGTGAATGAGGGTTTCGGCGATAAGAATTCAGAAAGAAACTCTAAAAGCGTATATCTGTTCTGGCCCGATCTGTCCATCAGCCCGATCTGAACCAAGTTGATTGTCATTGGTCCATCTTGGAAAACCCCCCTA